CTCAACTTTGTGTTGCATTTAGGTTCAACTTTGTGTTGCATTTAGGTTCAACTTTGTGTTGAATTTACACTCAACTTTGTGCTGCATTTAGACTCAACTTTGTGTTGCATTTACACTCAACTTTGTGTTGCATTTAGGTTCAACTTTGTGTTGAATTTACACTCAACTTTGTGCTGCATTTACACTCAACTTTGTGTTGCATTTACACTTAACTTTGTGTTGCATTTAGGTTCAACTTTATGCTGCATTTAGGTTCAACTTTGTGTTGAATTTACACTCAACTTTGTGTTGCATTTACACTCAACTTTGTGTTGCATTTAGGTTCAACTTTGTGTTGAATTTACACTCAACTTTGTGCTGCATTTAGACTCAACTTTGTGTTGCATTTACACTCAACTTTGTGTTGCATTTAGGTTCAACTTTGTGTTGAATTTACACTCAACTTTGTGCTGCATTTACACTCAACTTTGTGTTGCATTTACACTTAACTTTGTGTTGCATTTAGGTTCAACTTTATGCTGCATTTAGGTTCAACTTTGTGTTGAATTTACACTCAACTTTGTGTTGCATTTACACTCAACTTTGTGTTGCATTTAGGTTCAACTTTGTGTTGAATTTACACTCAACTTTGTGCTGCATTTAGACTCAACTTTGTGTTGCATTTACACTCAACTTTGTGTTGCATTTAGGTTCAACTTTGTGTTGAATTTACACTCAACTTTGTGCTGCATTTACACTCAACTTTGTGTTGCATTTACACTTAACTTTGTGTTGCATTTAGGTTCAACTTTATGCTGCATTTAGGTTCAACTTTGTGTTGAATTTACACTCAACTTTGTGTTGCATTTACACTCAACTTTGTGTTGCATTTAGGTTCAACTTTGTGTTGAATTTACACTCAACTTTGTGCTGCATTTAGACTCAACTTTGTGTTGTATTTAGGTTCAACTTTGTGTTGCATTTATGCTGAATTTATATTCTACTTTTGTATTTTTATTCAATTTTTACATGAATACTCAATTTTGTGCTGAATTTATATTCTACTTTGTATTTATATTCAATTTTTGCATGAATACTCAATTTTGTGCTGAATTTATATTCTACTTTTGTATTTATATTCAATTTTTCATTAATAATTTTGTGCTGAATTTATATTCTACTTTTGTATTTATATTCAATTTTGCATGATATACTCAATTTTGTGCTGAATTTATATTCTACTTTTGTATTTATATTCAATTTTTGCATGAATACTCAATTTTGTGCTGAATTTATATCCTACTTTTGTATTTATATTCAATTTTTACATGAATACTCAATTTTGTGCTGAATTTATATTCCACTTTTGTATTTATATTCAATTTTGCATTAATACTCAATTTTGTGCTGAATTTATATTCTACTTTTGTATTTATATTCAATTTTTCATTAATAATTTTGTGCTGAATTTATATCCTACTTTTGTATTTATATTCAATTTTTGCATGAATACTTAATTTTGTGCTGAATTTATATTCTACTTTTGCATTTATATTCAAGTTTGGATGAATACTCAATTTTGTGCTGAATTTATATTCAACGTTTGTATTTATATTTAACGTTTACATTTATACTCAGCTTTGTGTTGCAATTATATTCAATTTTTGTATTAATATTTAACTTTATGCTGCATTTATATTCAACGTTAGTGTAGCTTTATACTCAGCTTTGTGCTAATGGCTTGGTGCAATATTTATTTGTTTTCTTGCATGTCTTTATGTAATGTCTTGCTAAGGAGATAAGCAACATTAAAAAAGAGGATAATTTCAACTTGAAAACTTATTAATGATGATTATCCCACTTTCTTCTCAATTGTCTTGGTGGATAAAGCATCCAAAGCAGGGTAAAAAAGCCATAGAAAATAACACAATGTTCAAAACAACTGATTTTTTTCCTTGGAAATTTCACTGTCAAAGTGTCACCACCAAAAAAGCCCTGCTGCTTTACCTTGCCTTATTTGCCTTGCGGATAATGGGACGTTTAATAACATCCTTTGCTGAAGGTTTTGCATTTTGGGCAAGACATTTCCAGCAAACTTGCCATGGGGGCATGTGGCATTGTTTTGCACGGTTATGATCTTTTTCTGATGGTCCACATTGCAAGAAAATCCATGGAAGAGTGCCCTGCTTTTATCATTCTACCCAGTAAGCCTAATAATTTGTGTATTTTATTTGTTTACTTCACTTTTAATGCACTTCCCAGCTCCTGCTATATCAGACCTGGGCAAACTTGGGCCCTCCAGGTATTTTGGACTTCAACTCCCACAATTCCTAACAGCCTGAGGCCCTTTCCCCCCTCAGCCGCTTAAGCCTGAAGCTGTTAGGAATTGTGGGAGTTGAAGTCCAGAACACCTGAATGGCCCATGTTTGCCCATGCCTGTGCTATAAGGACTCAAGGAGGTGAAACAACAAACAGAGAATCATCGAATCATAAGAGTTGGAAGAGACCTCATGGGCCATCTAATCCAACCCCATTCTGCCAAGAAACAGGAAAATCGCATTCAAAGCAGCCCCAACAGATGGCCATCCAGCCTCTGTTTAAAAGCTTCCAAAGAAGGAGCCTCCACCACACCCAACGGCAGAGAGTTCCACTGCTGAACAGCTCTCACAATTAGGAAGTTCTTCCCAATGTTCAGGTGGAATCTCCTTTCCTCTAGTTTTAAGCAATTCTTACGCATCCTAGTCTCCAAGAAAACGTGACAGCACACAATTAAAAACAGAGCAAATGCATTAAAATACAAATGAAAGACCAATCAAATCCTTTGTATTGTGGAACATAAAATATTACAATGACAGGTAAACACAACTCGGCTTGCAATGTCATTGGGCTTCCCCGCTACAAATTCGTAAATCAATGAATCCGTGCTATGGCACAAATGCGAAACCTCTGATTCATTTGACAGCATTTATTATTGGAGTTTCCATTCCTTTTAATCGGATTTAAAAGAGGTGGAATACCATTGGTGGTGAACTATAATGGGTTCAATGCATCAATGCAAATTGAATTTACACATTTCTTCCTGCTGCATCCTGGCTGTGTTTGCCATCAAGTCAACTTCAATTTGCAGTGGCCTTAAAGGTATGTCTACACACTAGAATTGGTGCAGTTTTGGTACCACTTTAACCACCATGGCTTAAGCCTATGGGATAATGGGATTTGTAGTTTCACAGCATTAGTTCACAGTCATTAGTGCGACTGCATTCTGGAATTAATGCAGTTTTGGTACCACTTCAACCACAGTAGCTTAAGGCTATGGGATAATGGGATTTGTAGTTTCACAGTATGAGGTCACAGTCATTAGTGTGTCTGCAGTTTTGGTACCACTTCAACCAATTAAGGTTATGGGATAATGGGATTTGTAGTTTCACAGCATGAGGTCACAGTCATTAGTGCGTCTGCATTCTGGAATTAATGGAGTTTTGGTAGCATTTCAACCACAGTGGCTTCAGGTTATGGGATAATGGGATTTGTAGTTTCACAGCATTAGGTCATAGTCATTAGTTTGTCTGCATTCTGGAATTAAACAGTTTTGGTACCACTTCAACCAATTAAGGCTATGGGATAATGGGATTTGTAGTTTCACAGCATTAAATCACAGTCATTAGTGCATCTGCATTCTGGAATTAATGCAGTTTTGGTACCTCTTCAACCACAGTGGCTTAAGGCTATGGGATAATGGGATTTGTAGTTTCACAGCATTAAATCACAGTCATTAGTGTATCTGCATTCTGGAATTAATGCAGTTTTGGTACCTCTTCAACCATAGTGGCTTAAGGCTATGGGATAATGGGATTTGTAGTGTCACAGCATGAGATCAGAGTCATTAGTGTGTCTGCATTCTGGAATTAACGCAGTTTTGGTACCACTTCAACCAATTAAGGCTATGGGATAATGGGCTTTATAGTTTCACAGCATGAAGTTACAGTCATTAGCGTGTCTGCATTCTGGAATTAACGCAGTTTTGGTACCAGTTCAACCAATTAAGGCTATGGGATAATGGGATTTGTAGTTTCACAGCATTAAATCACAGTCATTAGTGCATCTGCATTCTGGAATTAATGCAGTTTTGGTACCTCTTCAACCACAGTGGCTTAAGGCTATGGGATAATGGGATTTGCAGTTTCACAGCTATAGGCCACAGCACTTAAGACGGTATTAAACAGAGTTAATTCTACAGTGTAGATACACCCCAAAGCATCCCCTTTACCTCCAGCCTGGCTCAGGCCTTGCAAAGAAAATTCTTCTGTTTTGCAATAAAGTTTCCTTCTTGAAACAGTTGCTGATATGCAAATCCTATTCATCGATGCCACTTTGCTTCTTTCCCTTGTACATCCGGTGCTCCATACAATGACTATGTGGCACTTGAAGAAGAAACTGCAACCTTATTATTTCCCTGTTGGGTGATTCAGACAAACCTCAAAGCACATGAAACCAGGAGGGATTTTCCCCTTCCTTGCATCAGACCCTGAATCGATTGCAAATTTGTGCATCGATCCCTTTGGAAAGTATCCGCTTTGACTCACGCCGTCCCCACATTTAATAATGGCTCCGAAATGGTGCAATCTCTTATCTGTTGATTCATATTAGCGGAGATTACTTATTGCAAGACAATGAGCGAGAATTGACATGCTTATTGATTTACTTTAAGGACTCGAGGCCGCCAACAACAAACGCAAGGGAACGCAATTAAAACAAAGCAAATGCATTAAAATATGAATATAAATAATGTCCTACACTGCCATATAAAGTCCAGATTATCTGCTTTGAACTGGATTATATGGCAGTGTAGACTCATATAAATCAGTTCAAAGCAGATAATGTGGATTATATGGCAGTGTAGATCCAGCCTTAGACTGCTCTACGTAAAGACCATGGTAAATAGTGTAAGATTAGTGCTGTTCTTTCAAATGCAGCAGGATTTCCTTTAGTAAGGAAGCATCTGCTCTTACTGCCTATTACAGGGAAAACCAGCTGATCCCCAACCCAAATTTCATCTATGCTGATGATCGTGCCATCACCGCTCAAGCAGGGAGCTTTGATATGGTAGAACAGAAGCTCTCCGAAGCACTAGGTGCTCTTACTGCCTATTACAGGGAAAACCAGCTGATCCCTAACTCATCTAAAACACAGACATTCACCTTAAGAACAGACAAGCATCCCGAGCTCTGAGGATCACCTGGGAAGGAATCCCACTGGAGCATTACAGCGCACCCAAATACCTGGGAGTCACTCTGGACTGTGCTCTGACCTACAAGAAGCACTGCCTGAACATCAAGCAAAAAGTGGGTGCTAGAAACAATATCATACGAAAGATGACTGGCACAACCTGGGGATCACAACCAGACACAGTGAAGACATCTGCCCTTGCGCTATGCTACTCTGCTGCTGAGTACGCATGCCCAGTGTGGAACACATCTCACCACACTAAAACAGTGGATGTGGCTCTTAATGAGACATGCCGCATTATCACGGGTGTCTGCGCCCTACACCACTGGAGAAACTACACTGTCTAGCTGGTATTGCACCACCTGACATCCGCCGGGAAGTAGCAGCCAATAGTGAAAGGCCCAAGGCAGAGACATCTCCAGCCCATCCCTTGTTTGGGTATCAGCCAGCACGTCAACGACTTAAATCAAGAAATAGTTTTCTAAGATCTACAGAGACACTCGCTGGAACACCTCAGCAAGCAAGAGTCCAAAAGTGGCAGGCTCAAACCCAGGACCTCAATCAATGGCTGAAACCCAATGAGAGACGCCCCCCTGGGCACACAGAAGACTGGGCGACTTGGAAGGCGCTGAACAGACTGCTCTCTGGCACCACGAGATGCAGAGCCAACCTTCAGAAATGGGGCCACAAAGTGGAATCCACGACATGCGAGTGTGGAGAAGAGCAAACCACTGACCAGCTGCTGCAATGCAACCTGAGCCCTGCCACATGCACAATGGAGGACCTTCTTGCAGCAACACCAGAGGCAATCCAAGTGACCAGATACTGGTCAAAGGACATTTAATCAACTACCAAACTCGCAAATTTGGTATTTTGTCTGTTTGTTTGCTTTGTTCTGTTAGAAATGTAATATAATCGACTGGTTGCCCTGACACGACAAATAAATAAATCTGCACTGTATAATTAATGCAGATTGACACCACTTTAACTCCCATGGCTCAATGTTGTGTAATCATGGAAGTTATAGTTTTCTGCGTCTTTAGAGAAAGTTAAAACCTTGGCAAAGTATGGCTCTTTCTATACTGCCATATATTCCAGATTATCAAAGCAGATAATCCATGTTATCTGCTTTGAAGTGGATTGTATGAGTCTACACTGCCATATCACACCAGAAGCGACTTGCAGTTTCTCAAGTCACTCCTGACACGACAAAAAAAAAAACTTGCCATATCATCCAGTTCAGATAATCTGGATTTTATATGGAAGTGTAGACAAGGCCTACAACTCTCATAGGATCCTACAGCATTATCCCATAGAAGTTGAAGTGGTGCCAAAGCATAGATGCGCCCTGAGTTAAACCTTTGGCGACATAATAATAGTACTAACAGGCCTGCATTGCAAAACCTTTTTCAATATTGTAGCTGTTTGCAATATATTCTCAGAAATAGAACATGCCATGCCACACACCGTTCTTTTTGCTAATTTGATATATTTTAGAAATTGAGTTATTATTCGGTTTTTGACAAAGTTCAGATCCTGATGTTCTAGAACAAGTTCTCGTCGTGCTTTTGAATAGATCTGGGTTTTTCCTATGAGAAAATTAAAGTGTTTTGAAAACCTATCAGGAATTTCAACCCCTTTTTGTACCATTCATTCCCCAAAGAAATTCACATATTACGAAATAAAAACAACAAAACAAGAAAAACCCCTGGACATGATGGAACAAATGTCAGGTCATATTTGGATTTTAAATGCCAATTTCATATTAAGCCAGAATCATGTTTAATTTTTTAAATGACCCTCACTTTTAATTTAATTGTGAGTTGTTTTAGTGCTGTTTGTGTTTTAATTCTGTTTTAATGTTGGTATATTGGTATATTTAAAATTGTATCCTAATGCTTTTTACGTCAAGCTGCTCTGAGTCCCCTTTGGGAGAGATAAAGCAGGATATAAATAAATATGATTATTTATTTATTTACTGTGTCAGGGACAACCAGCCCATTGTATTACATTTCTAACAGAGCAAAACAAACAGATTAAAAACCCCACAAAGTTTGCAAACTTGGTGTTCTATTCAATGTCCTTTGACCAGTGTCTGGCCACTTGGAGTGCCTCTGGTGTTGCTGCAAGAAGGTCCTCCATTGTGCATGTGGCTGGGCTCAGGTTGCATTGCAGCAGGTGGTCAGTGGTTTGCTCTTCTCCACACGCGTATTTCATGGATTCAACTTTGTGGCCCCATTTCTTGAGATTGGCTCTGTATCTCATGGTGCCAGAACACAGTCTGTTCAGCGCCTTCCAAGTTGCCCAGTCCTCTGTGTGCCCAGGGGGGAGTCTCTCATTTGGTATCACCCATGGATTGAGGTGCTGGGTTTGAGCCTGCCACTTTTGGACTCTCACTTGCTGAGGTGTTCCAGCGAGTGTCTCTGTAGATCTTAGAAAACTATTTCTTGATTTAAGTCATTGACATGCTGGCTGATACCCAAACAGGGGGTGAACTGGAGATGTCTCTGCCTTGGTCCTTTCACTATTGGCTCCTACTTCCCGGCGGATGTCAGGTGGGGCAATACCAGCTAAACAGTGTAATTTCTCCAGTGTTGTAGGGCGCAGACACCCCGTGATAATGCGGCATGACTCATTAAGAGCCACATCCACTATTTTAGTGTGGTGAGATGTGTTCCACACTGGGCATGCATACTCAGCAGCAGAGTAGCATAGCGCAGGGGCAGATGTCTTCACTGTGTCTGGTTGTGATCCCCAGGTTGTGCCAGTCAGCTTTCGTATGATATTGTTTCTAGCACCCACTTTTTGCTTGATGTTCAGGCAGTGCTTCTTGTAGGCCAGAGCACGGTCCAGAGTGACTCCCAAGTATTTGGGTGTGCTGCAATGCTCCAGTGGGATTCCTTCCCAGGTAATAATCCTCAGAGCTCGAGATGATGATGATAATTTTATTGACTTTTATTACCAAGTAGTAGATCAAAATTTGCCTATATATATGTATCTATATATCATAAGTATTATTGCTTCCCCTGTAAAACACAAAATAAATTTTCCTTGTTTGAACATCTAAAAAATAATCATGTCCTTTAGGATTTCAGACATTTTTTATGCTTATATTGTTTTGTTAATCTTATGTTTATGTTGTTTACTCTGTATGTATTGATGATGTTACTTAGAAATTGCTCTGAGTCCTCTCGGGGAGATGGAACAATATATAAATAAAGTTTAATTATTATAATGTTAAATCAACTTGTTGTTTTGTTGTTTATTTGTTCAGTTGCTTCTGACTCTTGGTGACCTCCTGGATCATCACAGGCCAGAGCTCCCTGTCAGACATGGCCACCCACAGCTCCTTCAAAACCAAGCCAGTCCCTTCAAGGATGCCATCCATCCACCTTGCCCTTGGTCGGCCCCTCTTCCTTTTTCCTTCCATTTCCCCCAGCATCATTGTCTTCTCCAAGCTTTCCTGTCTCCTTATAATGTGACCAAAGAATGTCATCTTTGCCTCTAATCTCCTTCCCTCTAACGAGCAGTTGGGTTTTATTTCGTGGAGGATGGACTGGTTGGATCTTCTTGTGGTCCAAGGCACTCTCAGAATTTGCCTCCTTACAGTCCAGCTCTCACATCCATAGGTTGCTATAGGGGATACCATTGCTTTAACTCTGCGGATCTTCGTTGCCAGTGTGATGTCTCTGCTCTTCACTATTTTATTGAGATGGGTCCTTGCTCTTCTCCCAAGAAGGAAACGTCTTCTGATTTCCTGGCCTCAGTCTGTGTCTGCACTCATCTCCATGCCTAGAAATGCAAAGTCTGTTGCTGTCTCCACGTTATCTCCCTCTATTTAATACAATATGAATGGGATATATAAACCAAATAAATAAAATAAAAATTAAATTTTCCAGTTGCACCCAGACCAAGCATACTCCTTCCCCAAAATAATTTACTAATTTGTTTTTGTATTATATTAAAAGGAGTCATTGCTTTGCATATGATTTGGGGGAAAAGGAGATTTTCTTGCTCCCTCTCTCTATCTTAAGAAAACTTGTCGTTTGCATAGAAAATGCAAAATCTGGGGAGGAAAAACATATAATATTTCTGTGGCTCCTTTACTATTTAATTTCTGAAGACAGTTCAGGATTAGGTTTTGTTATTAAAACATTATGTGCAAGAAACAGCATTTTCTGCCCAGAAAATGTCATTTTTTTCTGGGTAAAAAAAAAAAAACAAATATCTGGAACAAAAAAAAAATCCAATATTGATTTATTTATTTTTTCGGGGACGGAAGTTGTTTTGTATAGAGAAATGTTATTTTTTTCCCCAAACAGAAATTTAGATATTTTTTAAAAAATTTTTTTTTGTTAAAGTTTGTATTTTGAACTGCAAAATCTTTGGTTTCCTAATTTTATAGCTCTTTCTTAGGCTGGATCTATATAATCTGGACTATCAAAGCAGATGATCCATATATCTGCTTTGAACTAGATTATATGAATCAGCCATATAATTGAGTTTAAAGCAGATAATCTGGATTTTATATGGCAGTGTAGAAGAGGCCTGAGGGTGCATCTACACTGTAGAATTAATGCAGTTTGATAGTAGTTCAACTACCATGGCTCAATAATGTAGAATCATGGGAGTTGAAGTTTTGCAAATATCTTTCGTGTTTTCTGCCAGAGGTGCCTCACCAAACTACAAATCCCAGGATTTCATAGCAATGACCCAAGGCGGGTAAAGTGGTGCCAAACTGCATTAATTCTACAGTGTAGATCAGTGTTTCTCAACCTTCCTAATGTCACAACTCCTTAATACAGTTCCTCATCTTGTGGTAACCCCCCAACCATAACATTATTTTCCTTGCTACTTCATAACTGTAATGTAAATATCTGATATGCAGGATGGATTTTCATTCACTGGACCAAATTTGGCACAAATACCCGATATGCCCAAATTTGAATGCTGGTGGGGTTGGAGGAAGGGATGGATTTTGTCATTTGGAAGTAGTAGTTGCTGGGATTTATAGTTCACCTACAACCAAAGAGCATTCTGAACTCCACCAACGATGGATTTGAACCGGTCTTAGCACACAGAACTCCCATGAACAACAGAAAATACTGGAAGGGTTTGGTGGGCATTGGCCTTGAGTTTTGGAGT